GTTGAGCAGGTTATATAGTTTCCGTTTGTTTTTGTCTATATGCTTACCCGACTTTGGTGTTTTAACACCTTTGGGCTGATCTTTGCAGCGTGAGAAGAAAGATGTCCTAATGAGGGAGGAGCTCCAAACCAGAGACTATGTAATTCTCGAACTCAAATGGCACGTGAGTGAGGCGGCCTCCGAGAGAGATGCCCTCCAGGGGAAGGTAGTCTCAGTCGGTCATCAACTTCTTGATGCGAAAGTGGAGAGTAATAAGTATAAAGATCTTCATACTGGGTTGGTTGCCGGTCTATCCGGGGTCAGAGCTGCAGCCGAGGCGCTCATATCTTCGTACAAAGATGATGTTATCGCTGCAAATGCTCAAGCCAGGAAAGTGTCCAAAGAGGTCGATCTGCAATTGACCCGAGTCGTGGAGCATGCCCGGTAAAATCTCGGAGGCAGGCTTTCGAGGATATACATGCAGGGGGCGTCGATTTGTCCGCCGAGATCGAGAGGGTGAAGGCCCTAGAAGAGGAGGTTGCGGCCCTACTTACTTCCGAAGGTGAGTCGAGCAGTGGCTCGGAAGATGATGAAGATGGAGGTGGAACCCCCGAAGGGGAAAAAATCATTGAAGACCCGGGGGCCGTGGCCGGAGCTGTTGAAGGTGTAACCTCCAAGGGAGCCGTCGAAGGCACAACTCCAATAGTAGATTAGGGTTTTATTTGCTTTCTCCCTTGCAAGGGTTTTAGGCACGGGCTTTGTAAATGTACCCTTGTGAACTTTCGATATGTATGTGACAAAACCTTTCATTTTTTATCACTTCTCATTTTTCCTTTGCTTTTTAGGAATAAACGGTGACGTTTGTTGACAATTGACCCGAAGTTTTGGACCTCAAATTAAACCCTTAGGTTCCTGCTACTGCTGAGCATTTTGCAACGGTCGTAAGTGGACCATTTGGGGCTTAGCCTCCGAGTCAAGTTTCGTCTTGAGTTCGTCGACCTTCAGGTCCAAAAGCCTGTCCTGAGGCTACAGGCCGGCGCTTAGGCTCTTACACGTTTGGGTCGGTATGACCTATAACATAGGCTGGTGCTCGGGCTCTTATGTGTTGGGTTGGCACGACCTCTAATATAGGCTGGCGCTTGGGCTCTTACGCCTTGGGTCGGCACGACCTCTAATATGGGCTGGCACTCGGGCTCTTACGCCTTGCGTCGGCAAGACCTTTAATATGGGCNCTTTTTTCTTCGAACATCTTATTAACTAGGTGTTGGTACGTGGCTCCCGCGTTTTTTAGCCCGAAGGGCATCACATTGTATCAGTACGTACCGTACTTCATGATAAACGAAGTTTTCTCCCTATCCTCGGGGTTTATCTGAATTTGATTGTACCCCGAGTAGGCATCGAGAAAGGTGAGGATCTCATGGCCGGTTGTGGCATCGATCAGGCGGTCGATGTTGGGCAACGGGAATGAATCTTTGGGCACGCCCTATTTAAGTCTTTATAATCTACGCACATTCTTAACTTATTCCCCTTTTTGGGAAATACCACCACATTAGCCAACCATTCGGGATATTTTACTTCCCTAATAGACCCTATTTTGAGGAGTTTTGTTACCTCGTCCTTAATGAACGCGTTTTTTACCTTGGACTGAGGTCTTCTTTTTTTCTTCACTGGTTTGAACCCGGGATCGACACTTAATCGATGGGTGGTTATTTACGGCGGGATACCTGTTATATCTAAATGGGACCACGTAAAGCAATCGATGTTATTAACAAGAAATTGAATGAATTTTTTCCTGAGTTCGGGGGTTAATCCCGTTCCCAGGTATACCTTTCGATCTGGGAGATGCTCGATCAAAACAGCTTGCTCTAACTCTTCAACTGTTGATTTTGTTGCATCCGATTCTTCGGGGGCAACGAAGGTTCGGGGGGCGAAGAAGTTCTCTTCATCGTTCTCAGGGGTCTGTTTGCCCTCTGGCTCCTCCGAGGTGGAGGGTTTTGAAGTTGGTGCCTCCCCGTGAACCGCGAACATCTCCTTCGCCGCATTCTGTTCTCCACATACCGTTTTTATACCGTCTTTTGTCGAAAACTTTATCTTCTGATGAAGAGTTGACGATACCGCCCTCATGTTGTGTATCTATGGCCTTCCAAGCAATGCATTGTACCTCATGTCACCCTCGATGATATGAAATTTGGTGTTTCGAACTATGCCGGACACGCTGACCGGGAGGGTGATCTCTCCTTTCGTTGCTTCGCCGGCCATGTTGAAGTCGTTGAGGATTCGGGAGGAAGGTATGATTTGATCAAGCAATTCGAGTTGTTCTACCACCTTCGACCTGATTACGTTGGCCGAGCTACCTGGATCCACGAGTACACGTTTAATTTGAATGTTGTTTAAGAGAAATGAAATTACCAACGCATAGTTATGTGAATGAGACAAGGTCTCGAAGTCCTCTTCACCGAATGCAAGGATGTCCTCGGGTATGCGGCCTCGAATTTGCCCCTCTGTTGCAGCTGAAACTTTTGTCCGCTTGGTCACGGATCCTTGAGGAACGTCAGTCTCCCCAATGATCATATGAACGATGTGCTGAGGGTTTCCCGTTCCGTTCCTCCCGTCTGCCTCTCTTTCCTCCCAGGCGGGAATTTTCCGAGCTTCCTGTTGGTTTTCTTGTGTATTCATTGAGTTGGACATCTTGACCTGAAATCAAAGATTCTTGGACAAGAAAAAGTGTACAGAATAACTTGCATTTTTCAGCAAACCAGCACTAAAACAACCACTATTATTTTTAGCCCCACGGTGGGCGCCAAACTATTTACCTTGAAAATGGTAATTACTATTAAATTTGATTTTGTGGTTCTAAAAATACGTGATTTATTTTAATGCTAGTTGTTAGGCGATAGATGCTAAGTGTGAGTTAGAAAAGTGAGATAAGAGCTTGAAGGCAGTGTGCAACGCAAACCGAATGGTCGTGAATCGGGGCCTCGAGGTCGAGCAGATGAGTTCGATTAGGGATGATCTGGGAGCCTTGATGGTGGCTCTTTATGATCAATGATGAGTAATAAATGAAGAAACAATCAATGAAACGCAATAAATGTAAGCAATAAATGAAAGAAAAAACAATAGAGAAGGTTTAAGTTAGAGAGCAGGGAACGTTCTTGTATTGAATATCATGTGTGCAAGATATGACAATGATCCCCTTTATATAGGAGGAGGAATCCCAACAAGGTACATGTATAATTATTACAAAGAAACGTAGCTAGTACATCTATTTACTAGTCTGGTACATACTAGTACTATTCTTGCAGGTGTTGTCAGCTTTGGTCACGTGCCTTGGGAACTTCCCGCTTGTCCATGATAGCCACCGACTTGTGCTACCCCGAGGTCGAGCATAGGGAACCCTCGGGGTTGAACCTCGAACTATGCCTCGAGGCTTTTGGAGGCGAGCTGCGGAATGTCATAACGGTCATAAAATCGGGCTCTCCAATTTTAGCCGTATACAATTATAAATGATTATTTGTAGGAAGAGAATTGATAATCCAAAGAAGGATATAGATAATTTTCTTTAGTGTGAAAAAAGAAGAAGATAAATTGGAGAGTTACAAGACATTACAAAAACGAAAAATCAAAAACAGGAAAAGTCAATAAAGAATTTGGAAAGTTACAATATGATTCATGTATATGATATATTTAATTTTAAAAGAATGGTAAAAAATAGAAACAAAAATGAAAAGAAAAAATTTAAATCGGTAAGGGATAATTTGGACAATATAAATTTGTGATGAGGATAGTTTTGTCTTGAATAAATTAATTTTCTGCTTCTGCCTCTGATTCTTGGAAGAAGCTAGAATTTTCTCTTTCTTCCCAAAAGCAGAAAAACTAGTTCTGCTCTGGCCAAAAGTACTTCTCCTCTTAGCCAAACAGTTTAAATATTTTAAAAAATATTTTTTTAAGAGAAAAAAGTAATTTTGGCCTCCAGGAAGCTTTAAGGCTGCTTATCGGGCGGATTGGGCGGCTTTTTACTCTTAACGGTTTGGCTTAACGGTTATCGGCTTTTAAATGTATTAACCCGTTAGCCACCCGATAAGATATCGGGCGGATTGGTATCGGTTTAGCTCTTATCGGACAGTTTATCGGCCTAACATACACATTCACTAAATATCTCCCATTCTCCTCGTCTTAGAAATAATGAATTGCCATAAAAAATAACATTTCAGAGGCAATATGATGCATTCAATTTGCTTTGCCAGAGATAATAGATTTGAATGAATATTAGATTACTTCAACAGAGATTTACTCATAAATCATGCATCACCAAAAATGCAGCTTATTCTTCTTCTAGGCAAAGACCAAAAGGCTAGTAGTAGTAACATGACTAATTGAAGAAAAACCAAAATGAAAGTATGAAAAGAGTGAACATAGTACTTCATCCATATACAAACACTGAAAAAGTTTTGGCAGCAGCTGTTTGCATATATACACACCAAAAAAGTATCAAGAACAAAACACTACAGAGACAAACTTCGTAACCAATCCAATAGTTCAACATTCAAGACCGCTTCTACATAAACAAAACTTTGCGCTCAACATTCAAGACCACTTCTACAGAAACAAAACTTTGCGCCCAAGCATTTAACAAAAACCACTTCCATTCTGTGCCGAAAAAGTACTTAATACTACTACAAAATCCCATAAAAAGTCTGATAAGAGAATAGGCAAAATGTTAATATATATAAATAAAAATAAATTTTATATATATATTTATATTCTTAACGGGTTAACGGATTATCCGTTAAGAAAATTAAATAATCCGCCCCCAAACCGATAAGCCGTTAATAAAAAAGATTCAATCCTTTCTCCGTCTGTTAAGCCGTTACCAGTAAGCCATTAAACTTCAGTTCGGATCGGTTTTCGGTTTCGGATCGGTTTTGAACAACCCTAGGAAGCTTGGCCAAATAGGCTCTTAGTAGAAGCCAAATGAAAACTCCTGAAAATTGAGGGCATGACTGGTCGATAACGGGCTCCGCGAGTTTCAATAAATCTTGAGTCTTTCAACGAATGGCTTATCGTTTTTATTGTCCGAGAGACGAAAATGCCCTTTTCCCCGCAAGAAATACATTTTTGTAAAATAACCGCCAGAATTAGGCCTGCGCTGCGTTGTCCGAGAGATTTGCCCGCCGGTAAAAAACTACTTTTTTTTCTAGCATATCTCTTCGCCATTGAAATTCAGCTGAAAGCAGTTATATTAGAAGATGGATAGACAAACCCGAGCTTCATCATCCTCGTCCAACACAATCAATCCCGCAATACCGCCACAAGAAGACGCTTGGCTCACTACCTACAATAAGTTACTGCCTCGCTCGCACTCTCTTGCTTCATCTCATCAGGTATATCCACTTTTTTTTGGCTCCATCTTCTTTTGTGCGTTTATATGCTTGATTTAGCAGTTAGTACTTACAATAAGCTAGGATTGAACTCGTGACGTGTGTGATAATGGTGTATATTTGCTGATTCGTAGTTATAGAATTATCTACTAGAATTTTGTTTACTGAGTTGGACTTACAGATTTTATATTGCAGCCACTAGGCCAGTGGTGGATGCAACATACTGATACCGGATTCATCTGAATCTAGTATTGTCAGCGTGGATCATAGACTTATGTGTGAAAATGTACCAAAATTGCAACAAATAGTATATATGAGAATCCATAACTTTTAAAATACAATGGGTTCAATACTAAAAACGTTAAAGGTTGACCCATAAAGCTTAAATCTTGATCCGCCTCTGCACTAGGCTCTCACAAACTACAATTAGGCTATATGCTTCATTCCTATGATGATTACTAAGGAAAGACAATGACAAAGACATCGTTTTAGGGAATAGACTAAGCCATTTAATAGAAACCTTTAATGATCTGTTAGTGTGTGTTTCTTTGTGGAAACATTACTTCTTTAAAGCTCATTTGAATTATTATGAAAAGTATTATTATCTACATGTACAAAGGTTTTGAAAAAACATGTAAGTGTTCCCTTGTCCTTCTTTTTGGAACTCCAGGAAGGGTGAAGGATGGATTAAGGAGTAGGTTTTGAGGTTTTATTTACTGACTTCTAATCTTTTATCTCCGACTAAAAAGTTTCCCATTGCTTACTTCTTTTCAACAGTCAGCCATTCCTATTTCAATATCAAGAGTTAATCAGGTAGATGCAGGAAGATTGGACATTGAAATGTCGGCCATGCTAAAGGAACAGTTGGTTAAGGTCTTCTCTTTGATGAAGGTACATGTAATGCAACCTTCTAAATTATTGGGGAATTCATCTCTTCATTGTTTGGGCGATCTGATAAAAATTTGATATACATTCAATTTGCTTCTGTTTCTTCCCTTTGGGATTAGCCAGGAATGTTATTTCAATATGAGCCAGAACTTGATGCTTTCTTGGAGTTCCTTATCTGGCGGTTTTCTATCTGGGTCGATAAGCCTACGCCGGGTAATGCGCTAATGAATCTGAGGTATAGAGATGAATGTGCAGTTGAAGTAAGAGGAAAAGGTTGGTTAGCATCTTTTACTTAATCCTTTTGATCCTTTATGTAAGTTTCTGCTAACAAGCTCTTCTTTTACTGTTCAAATGAATAAAGTTACTCTTACAAAAATCCTTTTTCTGTATTAATCAGCTGGATACTATGTCATTATTTACACTATATTCTACAACTTCTGGTGTTGAAATTGTCCAAACTTGGAACATCTAACGTTACTAATCCTTGGGAGTTGGGGCGTGGAGAGACTAGTTGAAAAACTTTTAAAATACTTAAGGTCGGCATGCTGGCATTCACTTCGATTTTGAGGCTGAGTTCATTGTTGATAGCATGAATAGGAGCATTTTCTTAGGAAAAAGAGTTACATTGCATGCATTCAGCCCTTTTCCTCCAGATAATGGTACCACCTCATTTTAACATATTTTCTTCTTCCATGGTTGGTCCACCATATTGTTTTTTTTTTTTTTTTTTCTGTATGATGGTGGTCCTGAATCTCCCCCTTGGTATGTCTTTCTTTTGTCCTTTGTAAAGGGCAATAGGAGATTTTGTCTGTCTGACAAACAGACATCATCTATTTGGAGTTTTTACTGGAAATATCTGATTGAGATGAATCTGAAAGCAAAGCATTTCAAGTCCAAATTGACTACCATCTATGCACTCTCATTGATTACTTAAGATAGCTTGAGATCCCTGAGAGCTGTAAATATTTACTTTAATAGAAATGCTCAACTTTTCAGTAACTTTGGAAGTCCAAATAGTATTTAGCAAGTGTATAATATCAATTGGGATGGAGGGACTTGAGGAATTGGCTTGAAAATCTTGCCTGTCGTAATTTCTACTTGAAGTTGCTAAGGTTGACAGCTTGATGCAATTGAATCTTTTTTTTGATCTTATACCTCTTGCATCGGCCTTCATAGTTTCAATTGTAGTTTTGCTTTTCTGCATAGCTTAGTTCGAACGGGATTGGAGGGACCTGGACTTACTGTTGCTCAAAAGATATGGTACTGTGTCGCTACTGTTGGTGGTCAATATATGTGGGGCCGTCTTCAATCATTTTCTGCTTTTCGGAGATGGGGTGACTCTGAGCAGGTATAGTCCTCTCTTCTTCACTTTCCCTACTTGTTTTTTACATGCACGTGTCAATGGATGAAAATTATGATTGTTAAGATACTCTTTGCTATCTGCACTGAGATAGGTGGTATTAATGTGTTGTGAATTTGGTATAATGCAATTTGATAGAACTTTCCTTATAAAGCGGAGATCATTTTGTAACCAATTGATGAAATTGAGAAGGCATGAATGCTCAACGACATAAATAAGGTTAACTTTTCCTGCTTCCCGAGGCACGTAAATTTGAATGGTTCAATTTTAAATCTTAAGTTGATGTGTTGCATAGTAAAATTTGGTCATCCAAAATAGAATTGTTGTAGTAGTAATTTTATGAGAAGAATTTGAACAAGTAAAATAGTAACTTCCAAAACATTGACTTGTTAATGTTATGGCTGCTTCAGAGGTCTTTGGCACGCCGAGCATGGTTGTTAATACAACGGATGGAGGGGATCTATAAAGCAGCATCTTTCAGCAATCTACTTATATTTCTTTACACAGGAAGGTATATCTCTGATCGTAAATCTTTTTTCATGTTATTTCTTTTGAAAGCATGGTTGGAAATATTTTTTGCTTTTAATCTTTGGTTGCACATACTTTTCTTATTTCTTTCCGATGCATGACATGACCACTAAATAAAAGAAAATAAAATGACAGTCGAACTCCTATAGCAGTTGCATTATGTCATACTACTGATTTTAAAAAGAAAAGAAAAAGATGAACTTATGATACTTGAATTAGTGCACTAACTTAACAATGGACATGCGTGGAACAAAAGCAGAGCTGCAAGGCCGTGGTGCTTTATCTTATGTGTTTACTAGAAAGTAACTTGTTCATGGAGACTAATGAAGTGGATGTAATTGGATATGTAGAATGCTTGGAATATGCTGAATAAATGGACCCTGTCACAATTAAATTTGCTCCTCTTTGATTGTATCCACTAGTATATAGTGGTTACTCCATTCTTGTTAGTAAAATGCCGTTTTTTATGTTACTTAAGAAAGGACCTCGTCTAAATTAAGCTGGTACTTCCAATTTTAATCTGTAACTGTAGTCAACTACTATCATTTTATCTATCATTGTCTTGCTTGGTCGGTTCAAGCATCAAAATTATACGCATCAATCAATTGAGAAGGGCCAATTCTTGGGTTGGGGGTTTGGGCTTCCCAACTGTTAAAGAGTGGTGCCACATCATTGTAATGTTGAATTTTTATGGTATAGCTCTTTGTAGTCCCTTAATTGATTTTAGTATCAGTATATCTGGTTTATGGTTTGTCAGGACTTATGAGTTCATATATAAATAAGCCGGTGTAGGTTTTTCGTATTGAAATCTCAGAGCAAATGCAATGGCAAATTAACTGGTTAACTCCCAGGTAATAAATTTCTGCATTGTTGTTATTCGCTGCCAACTAGGTCGAGCCAAGTTTTTGGAAAAAATTTGTTTTTTGACATTTTGAAAATTCTCTGTCCAGTGAAACCAGATATGTTTCCTGGGATGGCTTTGTTGTCCAGGAACAGGGTGAGACAAATCCCGAAATCATTGGCAGTGACTATAAAATAATGATGATGTTCAAAGGTTACTTCACCAAGGAAAAGGTAAAATAGCACAAAATAGAAAATACAATATAAAAGGCAAAAAGACTTAAGTTAGACAATCTACATGCATTCTTGGTAGAAGATGTTAACTGATGAACATGCTCGTGCATCCGTTGATTGCTATGAGGGTCTTGAACATGTGACATATTAAAGGGTTTAACTGTTGAGCATCCCTGCATGTATTGACTGCTATAACTATCATGTACATTTGATCTATAGATTGACTGGAATTAAAAATATAAGAGTGAAGTTACCTATCAATAAATCAATCAATAAATAAAAAAGAATATAAGAGCGAAGCTAGAAAATGTCCCCAAGGCAGACAAAAGCTTGGGAATTTAAGTGAAGCAGGGTAGAGAGGAAGACTCATTACCCACCGAGCACTGTGTGCCACTACCCCTCGGGGATTTCTCTGTTATGAAAAAAAACTGAAGTTAGAAAATCCAGATGTATTATTGGTACCAGGAGTTAGTTGAGCATGCCCATGTATGGATTGACTGCTGTATGTGACTGTACATGTGACATTTCGAATAGGGTTTAACTTTTGAACACGGATTGACTTCTATGGATGTCCTGTACATGTGCCCTTCAAGGGACAGCCCGGTACACTAAGCTCCCGCTATGCGTGGGGTCCGGAGAAGTGCCGGACCACAAGCGTCTATTGACGGGAATTAATATTATAGCTTCCTATATATTTTGGAGATTTACTGGTTATTCTACATGTATCAATGACATGCAGGTATAGGAATCTCATTGAAAGAGCTTTAAGAGCCAGACTTGTTTATGGGAGTCCACATATGAACAGAGCAGTGAGCTTCGAGTACATGAATCGCCAATTGGTGTGGAATGAATTCTCGGTAATTGTCCATCCATTAGTAGAGTGTTGCAGACTTTATATGGTCATTCCGAAGTGAGGAGAATATTGATGACAAATTATCTGAGAATCTATGTCTGCAATTTCGCTATCAATTATCTGTTAGGAAATTGGTCCTTAACCTTATCAAAAAAGGGAAAGGGCCCTTAAAGAGCGTTGCGATGCTTTTAGCTGTTTTACATGCTTCCAAAGGGCTAAAAGATCTTTTTTCCAACTAGTGTCATGCCTTCTTTTGCTGGTGGGTATGGGGATGAGGATGGTGCTCCAAAATTGGTCTTCTGCAGTTAAAAGTTATAGTTACTATAATTGTTTCGTACAAGCGCTGCTGTTTAGCTAACAACGCGAATGGAGGTACATTCTCAACTGTTCTAATATACAGGAAATGCTGCTCTTGCTTCTTCCCCTTCTCAATTCAACATCTGTCAAGAATTTTCTTCGTCCATTCTCAAAGGACAAATCTTCAGATTCTTCAGTGGATGACACTTTGTGCCCAATCTGCCAAGGAAAGCCAACAATTCCATGTTTAGCTATCCCTTGTCAGCACAGGTACTAATATTGCATGCTTACAATTATGCAGTAGAATGGCAATGCATTGTATCTTTCAAATGTTCATGTCTTCAATAGGAACTCTATTGTATTGAAGCTTAATCAAGGTATGAGCTTAAGTAATAAGTTGAATTCATTGAAATTGCAGGATGACAATCTTATACTTATGCATGCATATTGTATATTTGGAGGTTTGGGCTGTACATAGGTATAATTTTATTGTTTCAAAGAAAAGAAACCTTGAGAGTTGAAACTATATAAAATGTTTCAGGGTTGTCTAGAAAAATAGTTTATCTTTTATAGCCTCGCATCCTCCTATATCCTTAAAATGAACTTCATATCCAGTGTTTTATAGACAACCATGGCATTCAAATCTTGGAGCTAGTTAAATTCTCAATTCAAGAAGCGGAACTAGAACACTTCATCTCTCCAATTCATTTCCAAATAGAGTCAGGGGCTTTACCCAATCAATGAGTCAAAATAGGGAAATATGTGGACATCCAGGTAGATCTGATACCCATACTAACTACCTAGTATAAGTTGTCGTGTACAAACCAAGTTTAGACAAAGTAACACAAATATCTATGGTAGTCAGTCCACTCTTAAGGCAATTGTATCTTTAGATATTGCAGAGGGGATTCTTGTTTCTTCATCTTGTCATCCATTTGGTTGACGTCATTCATGTGTCCATTTCTTGGTTTAGTGTGCTGTTAGTAACTGTTGTTCACTGAGTTTTATGTATCTCCATTACTATACAGCTACTGTTACTACTGTCTTCAAACACGTTGCTCTGCTGCTCCGTCTTTCCGGCGCCCCCGATGTGGAGAAGCGGTTGCTGCGATGCAACGACATGGCGGTTTGGTCAACAACATTAGTCAGAAACAATAATTGTGGTCCAAGGTGAAATAAAATGATGGGAAAGGCAAGCTTCAGACAAACTATGGATCAAAAGTTGCCCAAAGATAACATAGAAATTGAACTAGGAATCAAGATTCCTCGATAAAGCAACTTGTTCTGCTTTATTGAGTGCATTCATTTGTTAAAGTTTCTTGTCTCTTTCAATGTAGCCTTTCTTTTTAATCTCATTTATTTGCTTATTTTAGAGATTCTCTTAAAAGTTTGATCAGTCACAGGTCACGGTTGATTCAATTTTTTATCAAATGGCTCAAGCAGCCCTTTTAAGTTCTGGTCAGGGTAACTTCCGAGTTATTAAATGAATAGGTGACAACAAAAAAGAGAACATTATTTAATTTCAGATTGTAAGGCAGTGTGCTGTGTGTCACAGAATCTGCATGTAAAGTTGCCAAGTGATGTGCAGGTTATAATGATTTTAAGCTGATAATAGCCGTTGAAGTATTTGAGCAGCAAAAGTTCATCATAACGTGTGATTTCATGGGGATCTAGACCACTAATCCTTACCTTTCTGTTCTTTCCATGGGCTTTATAGGTGAATGAATTGCATTAAAGGTAAGTCCTCTCAATTTCATTCCTTTTTCCGCTTCTCTTTTTGGTTGGGTCTACACTTTTCCTTGAGTATATAATAGCAGCCAGATGTCGAAAGCTAGTTAGGATAAAAAGGGTGTATGCCGTCAGCAATAAGACTCCTGAATTGGTCCAACAGGTACTTTATTATGGAAATTAGTATATATACGGACCATGTAATAAACTTTTTACACCATATATATATAATATGTAATAGGGCGCCCCTTTTTAACATGCAGCCGCTTTGTCTTTTTGTTTGCATCCGTACCCACTTTTTAAAAAACTTCAGCTTCCCTTTATAACTGGGAAACTTCAGTTCTAGAGCTGAAGTTTTTATTTTATAACTTAGAAAACTTCAGAAAACTTCAGCTCTAGAGCTGAAGTTTTCGGGTTACTAAACAAAAACTTCAGCTCTAGAGGCTCTAGAGCTGAAGTTTTTATTTTATAACTTGAAAACTTCAGCTCTAGAGCTGAAGTTTCAGGGTTACTAAACAAAAACTTCAACTCTAAAGCTGAAGTTTTTATTTTATAACTGGCAAACTTCAGCTCTAGAGCTGAAGTTTCCCGGTTACTAAACAAAAACTTATAAAATAAAACTTCAGCTCTAGAGCTGAACTTCAGGCCCGGCTACTAAAATGCTGAAGTTTTGTGTAATTGCCTTTGCTACTTCAGCCCCGTGTGCTGAAGTTATGTGAAAAAGCGGGTACGCTTGCAATTTTTTTTGCAAAGCGGGCACAGGTTAAAATGTGACACAAAAAGCGAGTATAGATGCAAATGCCCCAATATATATCCTTGAAGCAACGGTAAAGTTGTTTTTACGTAACTTTCATGGGTCCGAGCCGTAAAAGTAATCGCTAATGCTTGCAGTAGAGTATGATGTCTATGTTACACCTCTTGTATATGGATGCTTTGATTGTTATCAGGTTAAATAGAGTACTTGTAATTGCTTTAAATGATTTAGTAGTGTAAATATTTTCTTTAGAACTTAAATTCTTAATTGTTACCATTAGCTTTTCACTTCTTTTAGTCACCATTAGCTTTTTACTCATTATCAAAAAGTTGTGGATAGCTTCATACTCTGCGTCTACTCTAAATTTGTCCTACCAGTCACTGTTATTACGACGAACGCTTCAAATGATCAAATTACTCTTTTGTTTTTATAGAAGAATCAATCTGCGTAAGAGCTCAACTAGCTATTTTAGAGGGTTATACATGAAGTATAGCTAGTTCATTCTAAATCACTCATGTAAAAGGGCTTTTATATACCGTCAAACCCGTCTATAACAACCTCGTTTGTTCCGAAGTTTTTTGGATGTTATAGCGAAGTGCTGTTATAGAGAACATATACTATAACATAACATGAAAATTGGTCATGGAAAAGCTTGGCTTTTATAGTGAAGTATTGTTATACGTTATAGAGATGTCTGACCGTATATGTTTTCTTTTGCAGCCACCTACCAGTGGGATGAGAAAAGTTAGTGTTAGTGTTGTATGGGTCAAAATATGATCAAAGGAATTCTACTTAAGAAAGAACAATCAAGAAGCAACCAAGCCGAAGTCACATATAGGAAGCAATATACCGGCGAGTGATTTAGCTACGGTCGAAGTTGAGCACTCAATTTGGCTCGAACGGCCAGTGCAACGCTTAAACATTTTAGAGGAATATTCTACGGGATATTCAAAGAATTTAGGTACTCCGGTTAAGGACCGTTGGATAAAGAAAGTATTTTGTATAAATATTATGGGAGAGAGTAACAGAAGGGGCAGATCGAAACACACACACACACAAAACATGGACATCTCCCTAAAGGGAAGATATTCCCTAATCTTAGATCTCTCACCGGAAAAGGAAATGAGAGCACAGGATCTCGATATTCATTTGTAACTCGACTTTATCAAATATATGGAAGCTGGTCTTGTTAAAAAATGGTGATGCTTTTTATTTATGTATTCTTCATCATCATTTTATATTATTAGAACAGTCATCTATTTACTTCCATTATAAAACCCAATCGTGACTGTAATCAAATTTTATGTTCAGTTATGCTTGTTTATTCCTACTTTCTATTTCAGATCTAGAATAAATTATTTCTGGCTAAGATTTGCCCTCTATCTATTTATTACATTGGTTTAACAAAAAAGGCATGAAACTTTTTGGTCGAACAATTTGGCACCGTCTGTGGGGATTGCCCAGCCAAAATTTTAGTTTCCTCTAGATCTAAAGTCAGTCAGAGTTCCACTTCCCGGTTGTTGTAGCCTCGCCCTCTCATTACAAATACCAACTTGAGAAATTTGTAGGCAAGCTTTTGAAATAACCGAACCAATCAAGGTCAGATCTTCGCACGAAATCGAAATTATGTTTGATATATATACGAAAGCCACGTCTTGCTGTAGTGATGGGTTTGGTACGTCGTGAGTATGAGTTGTCAAAGTAGGACTATGGCCACTACACACTGAGCACGTCCGCAATCCTATTTGTTGTATCAACATTAGATACCAATCTATACTTTATGCACACTGCCCCCTCTCTCTTAGGAAGGGACGATAGCCTATAGTGTAATTCTTTGAAATAACAAGCTTGTCCTGCCCGTATGTACGGAATATAACTTATGTTTCCCTTATTTTTGTACACCTGGATTGGATCGGACCGGGACTCGAACTCGAGATCCCAACGGGCGAATAAGTTGTCAGCCCGTAAGAGGCCCAGACTCGACTAACGACGAAGCTAAGCACAAGGCCGAGATCAAATTTGAAGCCAACATTCGAGTACGGGGCAAACCGAGTCGTTCTACAGCACCCCTCTCCCCTCGCCAACCAATCAGGTCAAGGTAACAAACGATTTCGTTTAGGTTTAACCTGTTATTTTTCTTTTGGATTGGGATAGGAACAGGAGCATTCTCTCAGATGCGCGAACAAGGAACAAACGCCATCAAAACAACACACCAGGAAAACGTTCTACACCATATCATCCCTGCAGGCAACGGTCGAGTAAACCCCTCCCCCCCCCCCCCAACGAGTTGGTACTTAACACCATAAAGGGAAAAGCCTGTATAGGCTGGGACTGGGTCACCAACCTGGAAAATATACGAATCTCTCCAACAAGTTGGTACTTAACGCCATAAAGGGAAAAGCCTCTATAGACTGGACTGGGTCACCAGCCCGAAAAACACACGAATCTCTCCAACATGCAGACAGAACACAAGTGCGTGAAACTCACCCACGCGCTCGCCAAAGCAACTACGCGACGATACCACTAGCTAAAATTTGATCTTGTCCATAGATTAAGACGTCCCGAAGCTTGAGCAAGACATTTACCACCCCGCCTATCGACTACTTCTCTAGGCAGAGCGATGAAGGGACTAGACATGGGACTCCTTGAATGTATGTACAGATCGAACGAAAATATGTAATATTCTCCAATGAATAAACAAAGCAGTATGACATTCTTACACAGCGCCAAGTTTACACATCACGCCAACACAAAGGAAACGTACATTCAATCTCACTCGAATTAATTTACATCTCGTTCCAATCAGTCTAAATTCGATCTCACTCAAATTTACAGCAAGATAATTCGGCCTCGCTCGAATTGATAAATGTACATTCGACCTTGTTCGAATTAGTCTACATTCAATCTCACTCGAATTAATTTACACATCGTTCGAATCAGTCTATATTCGATCTCACTCGAATTTACAACAAGACAATTCGGCCTAGCTCGAATTGATAAATATACATTCGACCTCGTTAGAATAAGTCTAAATTTGATCTCGTCCGAATCTACAGCAAGACAATTCGGCCTTGCTCGAATTGATAAATCTACATCGACCTCATTCGAATCAGTCTAAATTGGATCTCATCCGAATTTACAACAAGGCAATTTGGCCTCACTCAAATTGATAAATCTTTATTCGACCTCGTTCGAATCAGTCTAAATTCGATCTCACTCGAATTTACAGCAAGACAATTCGGCCTCGCTCGAATTGATAAATCTACACTTGACCTCATTCGAATCAGTCTAAATTCGATCTCATCCGAATTTACAGCCAGTCGATTCGGCCTCGCTCTAACTGATGAATCTACAGTCGACCTCATTCGAATTAACCTACATTCGACCTCGTTCAAATTAACATACATTCGACCTCGTTCGAGTTAACTTACATTCGACCTCGTTCGAATTAACTTACATCCGACCTCACATCAATCCATATTCGACCTCGTCGAATTAACAAATCTAAATTCGACCTCGCTCGAATTAACTACCGAAAGTCAGAGACTTAATGCAAGGAGATCTTAGGAATTCGAAAACAGAAGGAAAGGCCAAAGACGTACAACCAAGGACAAATCAACTGTTATTATATATTATTATATATATATATATATTATATATTATATATATATATATATATATATATATATAGGGCCAAAAGGGGGCTCCCACCCAACTAACTAAGTACAGAAAAACGAGATACAAAAGGGAAAGTAAAGTACAAAAGCTTCACTCTGCGTCATCTCCATCCACGCCGTCATCCCCCTCTCCACTTGGTTCAGCGGCTTCACCACCAGCGTCTCCCTCTCCATCAAAATGTTCATCATCAAAGAGAAGTCCGTCCTCGGCCTCATCATCTCCAACGACCTCCGGTGTCGCGGGGTCATAGTCGCAGGTAAACCGGGCCTCACGAGCTTTAACACGAGCTTCTTCAAAAGCAG